CCTCTAACCATGTCCTCCTAAAGCAAAAAATCAAATACCTAAAAAAAAAAAAATAAAAAAAAAAACTAAACCCTAGTTTCTCTTAAACTTGCAAAATATATCCCTAAACTTAATAAAAATACCTAAAATCCAATGTGGAGTACTCCTAGAGGGTGGCCGGAAGTTTCCACTTCGCCGGAGAGAGGCGGAGCCGGCGGGAGGAGCAGCAGGAAGCAAGGCCGACGGCGTGCGGGAACTCGGAGTCGCGACCTGGAGCGTGCGAGAGGGAGAAACATTGGGTGTGCTGAAGGATACGGGTGAAAGGAGAGAAAAAGAGCTCATTTTAAGTGAGTGGACCCTTCCCAGAGAGGCGTACGCCTCACAAGGAGTTGCGCAATTGCGCCTCTGAGGCGCGCCTCAGCCCCAGTGAGGCGTACGCCTCTTGAAAGCCCAGAATTGCGTAGGTTATGAGGCGTTTTTGGGAGGAATTGCGCAAAGGCGCGCCTCTCATTGCGCAATTTTAAACAGAGATTTATATATTTCAATTTTCTGATATCTTCATGCAAATAATATGAAGTAATTACTAAAATACTAACGTGCATCCTAAGGGAAACAAATAATGACCAATAGTCATTTCCTAAAAGCTTAGATAATAAAGGAAATTAAAAGTAGGCAAAACCCATAAATATGATATTCCTATAGGAATGAATAGTCTTTTTAAAGAAAATTAACCCAAATGCAGTAAATATTAGTGGTGTAGATTTTTGCAATTTGGATTCATTTAGATAGATATTTAAGCTTCAGGTTTCTTTTTAATGCATTCATTATTCAAAAAAACACATTAAAATGTTAATGCAACTTAATCTTTTCAAAAGATTCTTTTAATGAATTGTGAGTTAAGGAACTAAGAACTAAAAACAAATTCAATTCTAATTTGATTTGTAGTGATAATTTCTTTAGAAAGTTCATGTCCTATTATTCAATGGATTTATCATCTTCAATGGCATGGTTTGTTTTGTTCAGTTTTCAGGGATAAATTTAATATCTTTTATATTTTCATATTCATATTTAAGAATCTCTATTAAAGATTTAGGTCCATAATTATAAATTCAACTTCTTTCGGGAGTTCGTATTCATAATAGTTCCAAAAATGATTGTAGGCTCAATTTAATTTTTAAATTCAATTTCTAATTGAGATTTTGATTCATAATTGATCTTATACTCAAATTTATTTTTTGGTTCAAATTCTAACTCTTGCTCATGTATAGCTTTCACGTTAATGAATGGGTTCTAATGCAAATATAAATTTAGATTCAATAAAATTAAATGTAGACCATAGTGCAGCTATGAATTATCTTCTTTATAAAAGCATCCTTAGAAGAAAATTCATCAACTATAACTTTTTCGATAATATTAGATTCAACTATGCATGATTTTCATGTTGGTGAATGACTGGATTTAGAGGAGAATATTCCTTTATAAGATTGTCATTACATGTGTAGTAGTCGTAATAGAATGATTATATTACACCAAAATGTTCAATGCTTTAGACAGTGCCTTACTATATGTTTTTTGTCTAATTTTAGTTTAGTTCATTTTTAATCTCTCACTTGAAGTACTTCAATCAAATATTTACTAGTAACAAAATGGTTCCACGGCACATAAAGCTTTGTTACAAATTGAGAAACTGTGTAAAATTTAAACACTAACTTCTTTTTGTATAACTATTAAATTGATTATGCAATTTTTAAATTTTAAGTTACGTTATGTTTTATATCAACCAATGCTAATTTTATTTCATTTGCAATACTATTAAATTGCTTTGAGAAGCATGTTATTATCTCGATAAGTGTGCTACTACTTCGAAAAGTGAGTTATTGCCTTGAAAAGTATGCCACAGCACCGAGAATTACACAGTTGCCTTGAAAAGCATGCAATTACGATGAAAAGAATGTTATTATTAAAAAAAAAAATTCAATAAATAATGTACATTAAAAAGAGTATGAATACAATATGTAAATGCACCTAAAAGTGTGCTAGTGCATTGCATGAATGCATCGGAAGATTCACAAATATGTTGGAAGCATGAGAACATGCTATGCAATTGCACCTAAATGAGTGCAAGTGCATGCGTTGTGTGAGCACACAAAAAAGGCGTGCTAGTACATTAAAAGCATGCGAATTTATTATGCAAGTGCATCGTACAAATGCTTTGAACAACGTGCACGTCATTAAAAAAACTTTAAATGCTTCACATGCTCTTAGACAAATATGCTAAACACTAATATATATAAAGTTTGAGATGTTGCGCATTGTTGAAAACGAGCTAAACTAAAATCCATACACAATCCGCAATCATTTGGGGTTGGAGATGAATTTAAGAATAACATTAGCTTATCGAGAGTCAATATTTTTGTAAGAATATCATTACGATTAATTCTTAAATAATTTTTCGCCAGTAAGATGCATCACATGTGCTCTAACCAGTGGTTTTATTGCAAAATGACTCCACTAGTTAATTGTGATAATTGGGGCCCTTTAGTTGCATGCCATTTTGTTGACACAGTTTGCTTGTTATTCCTAAACTGGTGAATTTTTTTAAATACAACTGAATGTTCAAGGTTGTGCACTGCCTAGCATATTAATAGTTTGTACAAATTAGAGTTCCACCTGATTATCTGATGTGACACAAACTCCCATGCGAAAATGATTTTCGTAATGAAAGTTTGCATGCTTAGATTTAGAGGCAATAGTAAGTAAGATCTTATGCGGAATTGAATGATAAGATAAATATTAAGTGGTACTTAGCTTAGGTTAATTTTCATGCATAGAAGTTAAGTTCAAAAAGATAGCCAACTTAATCCGACATTGCCTACATGGATCGTTCCAACAATAAATTCCAATACTAACAATAAGATTAGTCTATGAAAGGACCCTCACACAACTCTTCTAATTACTAGGCTTTAGCGGAGAAGAATTAACGGGATCGTCATGAATCTACTATACCACAATTGAGAAGCACTTCGAAGATAAAAGAGCCGGGGGAAGAGTTTACCCAAGGACACGAGAGATACGCGCTCCGGCAAAGCGGTTTGTAGTTGGGAATGAAGTGGGCAGCAACCCCGAACCTCCTCGCACTAAGGAACACCCGGGAAGAGGTGCAGAAATTCAGGACAGCAGCGGTATTGTTGTGGGCTGCTCCTAGAGAACACCCAATAAGGTGGAGACGTGTCTCTACCAGCTCCTTGGGCTGTCGGTGATCAGGGACAGCAAGTTGTGGCCCTTCCAAAGTGCAGCCAAAGAAGAAACGTTGGACAGCACGTGAGGGATTTCTGGTCAGCAAACAGGAGCAGGTTCTGGCAGCACTATGGCTGGTTGGAACTTCCCGGACAGCAATTTCCACTTGGAAAATTGCTGGACAGCAATTTACTGCAGCTTTTATGGGCCGGCAGTTTAAGAGGAATCAAGGAGGAAAATTGTTTTGAATTTGAAATTCAAATCAAATGGAGTTAAGGCCTTAAGTGGGGAATTAATGGGGGAGCTCAATTGGGGGAGGCCGGCGGTTTCAAGAGAGGGGAATGGGAGTTTCATTTCATAATCTGAAATTAATTTCAGATTATGAATGAAATAAGGGGGTTATTTTGAAATTTGAATTTTGGATCAAGGCATGATGGCATTTACTAGCATTAAGGATTTCCCCCTTGATGAGGCGGCGGCATGTAGAGAGAAGAGTAGGGAGATTTGTGTGAATAAATCAATTCCGATTAGGAGGATAGCCACCTAGGAATGAGAATTAGTACTCCTCATGCCATGAATTTGAATTGAATTGAATTGGATTCAATCCAATTCTTTCCTTATTCGGACTTTGGCAATTATGGAAATTTTGGAGCTCATTCAATTTGAATTTTCGAAACTTGAAGAACAAGGGGTGATGACGTGGAGGTTTTAAAGTTATGAGAAACTCGAGTTAAAATTTATCTTGAAATTGGAATTTATCAAATAAAACGTCCACAATTGAATTTTCAAATTAAGAAAGAATTCGAGATTCGAAATTCAAATTGGAGCATGCGGGAGGAGGGTGGACGTTGGGGAGGTTTGCCGCAAAGTGGCCGGGCTGGACCGTGAGGGTGGCCGGCGGGCTGGATCTCCAAGGGCGGCGGCAATGGAGCTAGGGGAATACTTTGTGGAAGAAGAGGAGAAAAAGAGAGAAACAAGAATATACGAGAAGATAGAGATAACTACGAAATCACAAAAGAATCGTAGAAAACGCGAACCTCGACTCTTCCAAAGATTGGCGGGTATTGCGAATTACCCTCCTCGGGCTTCTCCTCTCATGAACTCACTAAGAGATCACGTGAACTCACTAAGAGATCAACAAAAACATGAAACTTTTCATTATCAATAATCATCATCCCTCAATACAAGAAATCTAGCCTATAAATAGGCCTCATGAAAAGAAAAAAAAACAAAGACTAAAATGCCCTTCGGGCTACAACACTACATGACCACCCATAAGGGTATAAATGGAAAAACAACAATATAAAATAAACTAGTACAAAAACAAATAAATAAATAACTAAAAAAATCGTAGCCGTTGATCTCCGATGTCCTCATCATTATCACCTTGTTGTTCACATTTGTTTGTTGTCCCCATATAATGTGGGATGTAGTTTTATCCTTTGGATATTTCTTATGATTGAAATTTCTACTCTCTACCAGGTATTATTTTTAATGTACCATTACTTTGCTGCCACGGAAATGTACAATGCAATCCGTCTGTTTATAGCTGCTTATGTCTGGATGACTGGATTTGGGAACTTCTCTTATTATTATATAAAAAAGGATTTCAGCCTTGCTCGATTTTCTCAGGTATGTATGAGGTTATGCAGTTTCATTGGTCCTGCATATTCAAGGTCTTTGATGTTTCTCACTTCAAATGCAGATGATGTGGAGGCTGAACTTTTTTGTGATCCTATGTTGCATTGTCCTCAACAATGATTACATGTTGTATTATATTTGTCCAATGCACACTTTATTCACTCTTATGGTTTATGTGACACTTGGTATCGCCAACAAATACAATGAGATTGGGTCAGTGATTGCTGTAAAGATCATCTCTAGTTTTTTGGTTGTTATCTTGATTTGGGAAGTACCTGGTGTTTTTGAACTTCTGTGGACTCCATTCACTTTCTTTTTAGGTCTGTTTCTTTTTGCGGTCCCCTTCCATCTTGTTGATTATCTTATGCCGCTTACAATTTTTTTGATTTGTTTGGTGCAGGGTACAAAGATCCAGAGCCTTCTAAGGCTAACATCCCTCTTTTGCATGAATGGCACTTCAGATCTGGTCTTGATCGCTACATCTGGATCATAGGAATGATTTATGCGTACTACCATCCAAATGTAAATTTCTTGGGCTTAATATGATAAATATATTTGGTGATAGTTGATAAGATGATAGCTTGTAGATTTATTTATATATGCTTGGACCACTTGGTTTCTGCCGTAATGGTTTGCTTATTTTTTCAATATTCTTGCATAAAAGGTTGAAAGATGGATGGAAAAACTTGAAGAAACTGAAAGTAAACTGAGATTATCAATTAAATCAAGTATAGTTGCAGTGTGCTTGTTGGTAAGCCGCTTGCCAAGTTCATCTAGTCATAGTATATGCCATCATTATTTTATGGTTGAAGATATGATTAATGAGAATCTCGTTCATTTTCTAGGTTGGCTTTTTGTGGTATGAATACATCTACAAGCTAGACAAAATTACTTACAATAAATACCATCCTTACACATCATGGATCCCCATCACGTAAGAGCTTATTTGAGAACTGTAGTCAAATGTGAAACTTGTGCCGCTTGCCAAACTAATACATTTTTATTCTGTATTTCAGCGTTTATATTTGTTTAAGAAATGTCTCGCAAGTGCTTAGAAGTTACTCGTTGACTCTCTTTGCGTAAGTTCTTTTCGAAGCTATAGGCATACCTATCCTATTTTTCTTAGATCTAATAGTTAGATAATTATTTGCACATTTTATTTTAATCCCTATGTCTTCCTAGTTGGCTTGGCAAGATCACATTGGAGACCTATATCTCACAGATCCATATCTGGTTGAGGTAGGTGCACTTTAGGCTTTTTTCCATATTATTTCGGTTAAATTATTTGAATTTGCAATAGTTCCACATTGTTAAATTTTAAATGAGCTTATATATGCATGACTTACTCATCAATCAAACAAGGAATCTTGTCAGAAAAAAAATATTTGAATGACTGAACAATTGAAATATGGCCTGGTATGTCCGTCTCAACAAACTTCGGAATAGTTTTCTTCATCCTATAGGTGTTGCATTTATTCTGGCATGGTCAAGCATATTTTGATTATTTCATTTACAGTTTTGCTTGCCCCGTCTCTGTTACATTCTTGCTACATGCAGTCTGCATATTTATTCTTATTGTTGAAACACTTGAACTCCATACCGTTCGTACACATAATTGAGCTCAATGTTGGTAAGCTACTAGAAATGAGGATTGATTGTAAACTCTTTGAACTCAAACTGACAGGTAGAAAACTTAATATGCAACCAATTTTTTGCTCTCCCAAGTAAAAAACCTTATTGAGCATGAGCATGAGCATGGGTTGGCTAATTGAAATTTGCTAGTTCACACTCAAATAAAAACAGAAGGATCATATGATGAGGTTTGATTTCATGTTCAATCAAATAGAATATCTCGATTAGTTAAGTAATATGGTATTAATGTTGATCTTTGGACCATATCATCTGATATGGATTCTACTGTATGATGTGTTATAATTATAAATAAATCGAGATGATCAATCAAGCATTTAATAAAATAATTAAAAATTGAGTTAATAGTCCTATACGGTAGTGTGTGATATATGTACTAATTTAATTAATTGACATGTGCATCAAATCAACTAAGGAGTCGATCTATGAATCGAACTGATTGTAGCATATGATCATGATCGTATAATATGGTCAATGAAGTGCTTAAATTTTGAATTTAAATTAACATTAATTGAGGATTTTTTTATTATGGTCTGATGATTGTTGTCATATGTATGCTATGAAAATGCTAATAGAATTAATTTTATTCACTGAAAATCCGAACAGAGATATTAGAGAGAATTTCGAATAGAGAAAAATTTCTACACCAAATCATCTTTCTCTTTCATGCCATTGATCCTTAGGTTTGTGTATTTAGTCATTGAGAACTTATTTTCTTATTTAATGAGAGATATTCCTGATCTCAAAGTAGTGTTTTTTGTTGAAAGGTTGATTACTTAATTGGTTGTGCTACAAGTGGTTGGTGCCATGCCTTAAAGCGAACGTTGTTACCGAATGGGTGGTTTTAGGAGTAGTGTACTACTGTACTTCTCACTTTGAGTAGAAGTGTTGGTTGTGAAAGAGAGAATATTCTCTACTGAGCATTAACAATTGAGGAGTTGTGGAAATCTTGAGAGGACTCATGGAGTGGATATAGACTCTTGGAAAGCCAAACCATTATAACTTTATTTGACTTAAGTAATTGTTTAATATAAAATAAAAGGATCATTAATCTCAGTTATCTAGACATTCCAGTATGATGCTTTTTTTGTGTTTGATGCATGAGCAAATCTTCTTAAAATTTATTAAATTTGGCCTCTTACCACTTTTTATATTTTGGAATAAGTTGAATGATTTTATTTTCCAGATGGATGCTATTCTCTCTTTCTCTCTCTTTCAGGATCATGAAGGTTAAGGGTAAAGTACAGATAACATGCTTTAACTCCAGAATTGAAAACTAAAGCACCAACTTGTCTAAAATAAATTCAAATTTTAGTTATAACTTGTTGTTATTTGAATTTTAATCCAATGATCCAATTTTTGAAGCCTTGATCCCCTGGTAAGATGTTTGATTGATTATTTGGTCATGCCTATGGACTTCAGGCATCACCCTATATGACTGCAATGGTACAACAACAACATCAAGTCTTTATCCTACTACGTGGGGTCGGCTACATGAATCCTTTTTCTCCATTGTGTCCTATTAAAAGTCAAATTCTCGTTTAAATCTAATAAAGAAAGGTCATTCCTAAAATTTTCTAACCAAGTCTTTTTAGGTCTACCCCTACCTTTCTTAACATAAGTCAAATCTAATACCTCTACTCTCCTAACCGGGTCATCGCAAGGCCGCCGTTTTATGTGACCAAACCATCTAAGGCGACTTTCTCTAAATCTTATCTTCTACTGGAGCTACTCCAACCTTTTCACGTATATGCTCATTTCGTATCCTATCTCTAAGGGTAAAGACACTCATCCACCTGAGCATCCTCATGCCACACTTAACTTAGTATTATGCTTCTCTTTTAAAGGCCAACAATTTATTATTTTAACATGAAGAATAACTATCCACATTGATCTTTCTATTGATTGCTTATTTACAATTCATGGATTTTTATTAACTTCAACATTTGAAGAAATTACTATAATTTAGTTTTTTTCTTTGAATGATTTTAAAAAATAAAATTGAAATTAATAACCAAAAATCAAAGAGAGTCAAAATTACAACTAGTAATTGAACTGTTGCTTTAACAAATTGAACCAGACACACCAAACAATATCATTTCAAATTTTTAACTTTATCCAAATAATGCACACCCTTAGTCACCTTCAAAGGAAGCATGTTGCCCAGATTCCAATGACTATGAGGAGAAAACTCCAATAAATTGTACTGATTCTGAAAAGTACACAAAAAGAGGCTTCAAGTCCCAATTTATTGAAAAATATCATATTGAGTATGATGATAATGATTCTGTTGAGAACTTTGAAGAAGATGTGGAAATATAGCTTCAAATTAGAAAATTTCTCCAACCTCAAACGACGAAATTCATCTAATATTCTTTCACTCAAAATTAAGATCAATTGGCATCTATAAAATGCAAAAGAAATTTCAGAATAAATGTCTCTAATTGCATGAGAAAATAATTATGATTTTAAATTGTTGAGAGTTTAAATGGCTTGGAATCAAATGCATGGTTTGTTCATGATCTTTTACATGTATTGAATGGTTTTGATTGGTGAAATACAATAGGGAAAACTAGATTTTTAAAAGGCTATTAGATAACTCCAATACATCCTTAAGTTTTTGATATGCTTGATGAATGGTTAAATTATCATGAAAATTAATCAACAATATAAATCTTATGTTATAAATTACAATTATTGGTGTAATATTGAATTTATGGATTATATGAATAAGTGGATGTAAAAAGAACTTAATAAGAGAATGTAAACTCTTCCCCTAGGGAGAAAAGCATTTGAAATCATATGCATTGAACTTTTTCTCAAAATACGGCATTAATTGCATAGGAGGATAATTGCTATTTCAATATGTATATGAATTTAACTAATTCATAATTAAATACAAGAATTGACTATGATATTTAAAGCATATGGGTAGATTTCTATTGGTGAAATACTAAGATAAAATTAGACTTTTGAGTAGCCTTGTATGTATCATCCTATTTTCTCATATGCTTGATAAATGCGAATATTTACTTAAAAATTGAGGAAACTCGACCAATACATAGCTTTCATGTTGTAGATTACAATCATATGTGTGATTTTGACTCTGAAGATCATGAGAACTAGTAGACAATAAAATTAAGTGAATGATCATCCTGCCTAGAAATGAAA